AACTTATTCAATCGATTTAATTCTGGCTATTATATGACAATTGGTTGACTCATCTTTAAATATTATATAACTAAAGACCGAATTATTGATTAATATCTAGCGAACTTTCAACTCATTTTACTGTATTCTGACTAACGATCGACAGTTACCTTATTTGGCTACTCACTGACTAAAGATAAGTTTATTTTATTAAAAAAATTAAGATTAACAGTCATATTACTTTATTATTTCGATATGACTAACGGTCATGACAAACGCTTGACTCGTTTTATTATTCACTGGCTTAAGGTCAATTTGTGTTGCTACTTTATAGTTAAGATTCAACTGATTTGCTTTTTATGATTAAAAGTTGGACTACTTTTACTACACAGAAAACTTATAGATGCCTTTTTTACTCCTGTTTTCTATTATATATTAATTACAGTAAAAAAACTCTTTTGAAATCAGTCACACAAATCTTTCCTTCGAATAGCGTAGTACATCAAATATATCAAAACACACACGACCTAGTGAACGATGTCATTTCCTTTGACGCTTCTAAATGAAGAAGCTTTACTCAAATGAAGAAAATGTTATCCTCAAATAACCGTGCACAGATTGAGTTAAACTTTCGTGAAAAGTTTGCGGACATTGTGTTAAACTTTCGTGAAAAGTTTGCGGACATTGTGTTAAACTTTCGTGAAAAGTTTGCGGGCATTGTGTTAAACTTTCGTTAAAAGTTTGCGGTATATATTACCGCATTGGTAATTTTATACAATATACGCCGACTATTTCTATTTTTTGAAGAGATATGTTTCTTAGCCGCGGATAGTAAGAGCTTATCTTAGGGGGACGCCGATTAGGGAGGGAAGTAAAAAACCTCCTTTGTTTGCATGAAACTGCATACTTCGTTTATGTATGTAGTATTTTCAAGTGCGCTGATTTCCCTTGAAAGTAACTGGATAGGTTCCGTAGAATAACATGTGGTTCCACAGAAAATGTATTAAGGAGCAAATCATAATTCTCTGACTTTATTTGAGTTTGAAGCATATAAGAGACTGGATACAATATGTAAACAAAAGAAAACAATCTTTATTTAATTCATAAAAACAATCAACTATAAGATGAATGCATGAGAGACAGAATATTTATTGGACTGTTTGACGAACTGTTCTAGATTGATAAAACATAGTATTATGTTCATGGAAATAAAATTCTCCTCATGACATCTGCACTACTCACGCGACTGTTGGTTATTCCCATCGAAAAATAAGGATGTTACATCCTTAGGGTATCACCTAACTGCCAGTGGAAGTGATCACTATCCAGTTGTACATAATATGTTCAACGTTACAGAAATATTTTGCACGATAATTTGGATGTGATATAACACGTGAACGGAACAATAGGTAGCTAGGGAAAAAGGAACTTAACGATTGAAGGAATATTTCTCAGTGTATTTCGACCACTCTGCCATATCTTTTTCTCCAGTAATTTGCAATACCCTTCATCACTAATGGTAAGTAAACAATCATTTTCATTAAAATCACTCTAATAATCTTAGCTGTACTAGTAAGTCTGATAAGTATATCAGCCCTACACATGCCTTGTTCAGATGTGTGGAGAGAATGACATTGTTAGTAAACAGTACAAAACACATAATTACTTTGTACTTTATTAGTGGGCGCAAAATTACAAAAGTATTATAATATAAAGAGGCTGCAATACTCCACATTGCTTTTCTATGGCCTTGTATGGTATACCTAAGTTCCATTTTATTATAGTCATAAAACAGAAGTAATGTTTTATGTTCCCAATTTTCGACCAACATCGTAGTTCATTACCACAAGTTATGTTGTGTAGATTTTGTGACTTTTTTGCACATGTGCAGTAGTTCAATGCTGCCTTTAGTGGTAAAGGTTATTTGCAAATGTTATTACAAGTTGTCTGGTACTTAAGAGTCACGTTTCAGATAGTGTAATATTTAACAATAAGATTCAAGTGTTTCGTTCCAAAAAACGTGGCCAACTAGGGTACGTAATTATATATTTGTTAGAGATGTGTTTTGTTGAATTTATTATAGTATTTCTTGAAATATTAAATGGATCTCACATAAATCTGAATCAGGTTTGTGTAGGGCTGATATACTTATCAGTACTACTATTACAGACACAATCATCTTATCAAATACTTATCCATTGTTATACCTTTTCACACTCGTGCTTGGTTTGATAGGAAGCTATAATTTGCTGTAGTTCATGATATCAAATTCATTTCTGCAACATTTATATTTGAGACTGCCTCGATAATCTGACTGTGTAGAAAGCGTTTAAACAAGTTTTTATACCAGAAACAATATTTTAAACGATACGAATAATGTTTTCTAGGGTTAGATCTTCTTATTGAGAAGGATTTTTTAATAATAATTGTGTGTGAAAATTATTATACACATTTTTCCAATATTTTAAATGGTACGTGAAATTCGAAATTTTGTGTCTAAAAACAAAACAAAAACAAACAAACAAACCAGTCATTTAATTCAAGGCAAAAACGAAAAACATCGAATATGAAATTTGAAAAAATCAAATATGAGTATATATCGAGCTCAAATAAAAGCTGTAGCCATATTCTCAGTCTACTTAGAAGTAAGCAGTAAATTTTTAGCAATAAGAAATCTTTATCATATGATGAGTTAAAACAATCAGAAGATGAGTTTATGAAGAAATAGTTTAATCACACTGAAATTAAAGTGACTAGATGTAGATGTGGGTATTGGATATTCAGAACACTTGTAGCTGGCTTCATCACTAGTTATAGCAAACAAGGAATTATAAGCCTAATTGGGTCATACGCGTGTCTTCGTGGTGCGAAATATTTGTGTAGTAGACTTCGCTAATTGTTTAGATCACCTAACAATAATACAACACATGGAGCCATACTTATATCTATGTGACATTTATAATATGCAGGTATATTAGATGTTTTCTAATCATCTTATTTAATTCTAAAGTTTACATTTTCTTTCAAAAATACTATGCATACAAGTTTATGTAGATCTAATTATAAAACAACGTTGGTCAAAGAAGTAGATGAGTTCCTTTCACCCTACTTATCTATTGTTCTGAGTCATTCACCTATGATATCATATTTACCTTCTCGTAAGAAAGATCTCTGTACAGTTAAGCATACTATTTAAAAGTAGGCAGCGATCTTTTCCATAGGTGGGTCATTTTGGTTACTTGAGAATACAACATCCCTTATTTTTGGATGGGAAAAACCAAGTAGCATAACAGACGCAATTAGTGATATTGTTGTGACGTAAATGGAAAACATTAATTCCCATTCTTGGACGTGGTCTGAAAAGGGCCACTTGTGTGTATAAACAAACTACACACATTCGCGGCGCGCTTGTAGTGGCTGCACGTTTATAAATCACATCTCCATAAATATTGGTGTCATCGATCATGGAGGAAAGTATAAGATCGGCTAGAAAAAACACAAGTACAATCATTTAAAAACAACGCTCATGGGGGGAGAAAGAGGTCCAATGTACACCTTATTCTCATGAAAATGAAACTTACGGGAGGCATAAATATTAATATAGCTTGGGCCAAATCTAGAACCCTTTGAGCGTCAATGACTAAAGAGAGAGTTCCATAAGTAACGAAATGGATGGGAGGAGAGTGATACTCTAGTTTAATATCAGCTCATCTGAGTCCAGAATCTCCTGATCCGTACAACGTTAACTTCATTTCTGATTTTTGTAAACATATGGTTTATTTTATCGCCTCAGTTTGTGCTTCTGCTAGTCATAATTTACTCTACAGAATACACTACATGCCTAATCTTAAAATGCATGTAACTTTATCTTTATATACTAGCAACCTAAATTATTTTGTAAGGTAGGGTCTATAGTAGGTTGTATCATTTTGTTGTATATATATATATATATACTTTTATAAAGCTACACAATTTTTTATAAAACAAATTACCTCAAAAGGAAGGACAGCATGAATTTTTATCAGCATATCCAGACCTTAGATGAAATATGATTAAATGTAATTTTCTGGAGAGAGGGGGAAAAACCACACCCACAAAACAAACATCCAACATAATTTACATAATTTTTGCATACATATATTAATGGTAGTATCTTCTACTATTAGTAATGTATTGTGTTGCTGTTTTCGTCTGTTGGACGTACAACGCATACCAACAAAAAAAAAGTATTAAAATGTAGTGGATAAATGGATAAAATGAGTAATCGTTTACATTTATGGAAAGGCGATAAGATAGCCAGGCTTCACTCGATACACCGGGAAAGGGTTTTTTACCATACAGAGGTAGTACACCATTCATTAATGATGTTTCGTTGCTCTACCCAGTGGATGTGAAGAAAAGATGTGCATATTAAATTAACGTAAATTGGAACGAAAGTTAGTTTACACATACGTTGCTTGAAATTGACTTGACTGAAACTCACAGTCACGTGACTAAGTGTTATATAACGCTGATACTATTTACATCTGTAGCCACTTGTTGTGAAAGGTTTGTTTTATGTTCTCATTGCATTCCTGAATAATTCACAGTATAACTACGACGTTATTCAAACTTTCAAGGTTAAATTGGAAGTAACAAATAATAATAACAGAATAGAAAATTTTCAAGAATTAATGATTCAACTTAGATTAACTTCTATTTATAACAAATAGTAAACATCACTAGGGAAATAGTCTTTTCGTAACGCCAGGGAGGTTTAAAAGGTAAACTGTAAAAGTCATTATGTTTTTTATAAGTTTAACTAATCACATATTAGCCTCTTGATTTCTTTTAGAAGTAGCCTTTCTTAAGAATTTTGGTGTTTTCAATTGTCAAATAATACGTAAATTAGTAAAATCAACTGAGTGATAGTTTCAGAATATTTGCGACTTACCAATCGCAAATTGACCTTTTTTAAAAAAAATCTAGCATAACCGCCAGAAAAGAATAGTTAATTTATTAAATTTGGGAAGAAATCTTACCCACAATAACGAGATATATTCCAACAGCTTTGTGGGTTGATGTAGGAAATGTTGAGTCCACCAAATAGGTGTCTTTATCTGCTTGAAATTCAGGTGTTTCCCCTAGAGACATATTGAGGTCTACAGAACCAAGCTCGGTGGTTGATGCCATGATCTGCCGCTGCTGTCACCAAGCCCGACTGGCACATCTACCGCCTCGTAGCCTACCACGATCACTAAAACCTTATGAAAGTCACGTGCTCTACGACATCACTTGTCTCTTCTTGAGGATTTCTATTGGGTGTCTCTAAAATAACAATAGTCCTTATACAGATAACAATTGACTTTCAAATTTAAGATCAACCTACTCTTTTAATCAAAACTAATAGGCTTAGTTTGCTTCGTTACTGAGCAATGCCCTAGAGGACTTAAAGTACGTTTTGATGTAGAATTTGATAAACCTTTTTAAAAGTGACCTCTTTTTATGTCTGGAGTGCACCATTACCTCATATATGTATCTATTAATGACCATCCTTTTGAACTAGCCAATTAACTATTAGGTACTTACTTAAAACTGGCTCTCATCTAGCTAGTTGTTCTCTATATAATTGTTCGTGAAAAGAGGGTTTAAGGATATATTAGTTTTGTTAGATTTGATTAATCTAGCTGCAATGAAAAAAAAATGCACGTATTTGTGAGAACATAAGTTGATTTCTAAGAATCTATGACTTGCTGAATTTATATATTATGCAGTTATGTAATATCAATAAAGGTTTACAAATTATAAGGATTTATTACAACTTATAAATAATACACTAGGTTTAGTCTCTTTAAACGTTGATTATATGTTTTTGATTTAAAATAGACATTATTTTTAACAATAGACATTTACCAAGTCTTCTTTTATTTTCGCCTGAGAGTAATTTGGGAACATTATATCTTATTTTGCAAGTTTACATTGTATTTTGTTGTTGTTGTGTTTTCTATAACTATGTTTGGATAACTTTTATAACCTTCCCTGGTTTCTAACGTTCCAAGTTCCTGGTGTAGTTAACGTAGTAAGTTCTAAAATAGATGTTGCCTGCTGGTTAGAGCGCTTGACTCGCGACCTGTGGGTCGCGTGTTCGAATCCCATCACTCTTTCTGCCTTGAGGACGATATAATTTGACGATCAATCCAACCATCCGTTGGTAAAAGTAGCCTAAGCGTTGGTGGTGGGTAATGTTGACTAGCTGCCTTTCCTCTAGTCTAGTCTATCACTTCAAAATAAGGGCCGGGTAGTGCAGAGAGCTCTCGAGTAGCTTTGCATGAACTTAAAAAACAAACTAACTAACTAAGTAACTAAAAGGTGTTGTCGTATTCTTTTCTAAGCAAATGTACCTGAAGACTGTTTCAAGGTTTAGTGGATCAAACTAGAAATGCCAGTGACAATAATTTTGAATATAGGTGATGTTATTGGTGTTTTAGTCTAACCCGTCCTCAGACTGACCACCTGTGGTTATCGTGGTTCAGGAATTGATTAATAAATTATACTTGTTTATTGAAAATGTCCGCACCTACTGTTTTTTTTAATGCTGTCAATACACAGTTATAATAACAGTATGCATCAACATCTGATATCCATATAACGTTGCTTGTTTAAAAATCTGTATTTAATCTATACAATATATATATATATTTAAATTAAACCCCTCAGTTCATATCATTTGGATAATTTTTCTTCAAGACTTAGAGAAAATGGAGCTGAAGGGCTGCTATAGCTTATTGGTTTGGCAGAATAAAATTTTTCCCCTCGGGTATAAACTGTTTAAAGTAACTATTGCTCAGGACAGTACGAAAATAACGATAAGCATTATCCGTTTTAAAAAATAAGCTTCTTTAGTTACTTCCATCGGTATCCTAATGGTAATCCTACACTTCTGTCAGAAAAAAAGGGAGAGGTTGTTTTGTTTGTTTTTGTAGTTAAGCACAAAGCTTCACAATGGGCTATCTGTGCTTTGCCTACCACGGGTATCAAAAAATAGAAAGCTAGATATGGCTTACGCATACGTTTAAATCACTGTAAAGCAGCAGCTATAAAATTATTTTCGCTTGTGAGAAAATAAAGGTTTGTTAAAACGTTGATGATATATGGGCTTATGTCGTTTTACGTTGTAGAGTGTATTGAATAAAGAACAGTTGTAAACACTGTAATATCACCATATATTCATCTTGTTATATCGCGTTGTAAAATGACGAATAGCGATTCGGTTTTCACACTCTTTTGCAACTAATAATACGGATCATAAGATTAGCAAGAGTTAATGTACTTCATTTGTTATGCTTTCTAGGGTATGAATTTTTAATTAATCTCAAATCCAAAGAAGGATTATTGAGAGGAACAGCTTTTGAACCCCTCTTTTTTCTTTTTATTTGAAAAAAATCTTCATCATGGAAATTACTGAATCCTGTGTCGTTGTAGCAGTGTTTTTGTACTTCTTATAATCGAAGAAACAATGATGATTCGATGTAAATTCTATATATAATCATAAACGCTAAAATAAACTTCGATATTAAAACTAGTATATTTTTACAAAATTTGAGTAATTTACCAAATTGCTAAAGTTAAAAAGACAAGTTATCTAAATTTTTAGTTAAAGAACACTATAATAAATTTAAAACGACGCTATTTCTAACGAGAAGATAGGGAAAAAACCCTGATATGTTTGTATTTGCAATTAAAAATATTTAAGTCATGAGCGCATGAGCAAAAAGTGTTTTGTAAAATGTACATGTCTATGTATTATGTATGTATATACATTTATTTATACACTAACTTAAGGCCAATATTAGAGACGGATTCTGCAATTTTGTAGCTTACAAACGATAACATGAGTACAATAATTTGAGCACAACAGTTCATAAGTAAACGTCATCCCAAACCCTATGTACAATGTTCATACGGCTTGGGAAGTTCAAAGTTAAATTACAAATTAAACCACAGATACACATCGAAGAAAACTTATAAACCACAGAAAATATGCATGATATTATATATCAATTACGATTATTTTCTGTACGATTCTGCAGAATACGTGTGATTAGAAGTAGTACATTTTGAAATATACTGAACAAGTTTTGCAAGAGTTAATTCTAAATTTACCATCACATATTCTCTTTTAAGTATGATAATTATGTACGTGTGACTTAAAGGATGTATATGAAATTTACGTCAGTGAAGTAATTAATGGATTTTCAAGATTCAGACAAAGTTTCCTTGATTAATGTTGATGGAAAAACCTGTCAAAATACTGTCAAACGATCAAGTGCTTGTAATCCAAAATGATGCACATACATATCTGGATACCAATTGATACTTCCCCAAGATACGTTATTACTATTTTTTATATTCAGAGATATCAAAATATCAATGTCAACAAAAAACATACTGACAAGAAATAATTATTGTAAACTAGATATGCATAAAATGTCATCAAGGTGAGGGTTCTCACAGAGATCGTCTGTCACATGTTCAGAACTCAAATCCCTCGTCAGCAATATACATATAATGACTGTGAAGACGTTGTCTTCAACCAAGCGTATCAAGAGACATATCACAATGCAGGTAATTTTTATTCTTACCTGAAAGCAGCGCTACATTAAAGTTTTTGTGAAATATCGTATATCCAGGACGTCGCCATAATTCTTTGTAAGATGAGATAACATAACAGATTGAATGTCTACATTTGTTGGCACAGATAAAATAAACTGGTGACTGGATTTACCAGAAAAAGAAATCTTGCTGAAAGATGAAAAAATAAAAAAGTTTGTAATGTCACTACAATACACGGTGATTCGTTTGTACTCCAAATTAGGAATGGCGGCACACAGCTTTAGCAGCTTTGCCATAAGCAAAACAAACACTAGAATAACCGAGCGCGCCTTGACTCCATTAGGTTTTTTTTTTAAAACATACTTTATTGAACTGTTTATGTACTAACTTGATTGTGGGTTCATGACTTTGTTCCAATTAACACATGGGTGACAAAAAATATAAACAAAAACAAATCAATATTGCAACTTTGTAGAGTCCATATTCACCCCTTATTTTACATAATTGTTTTGTTAGTTCTTTACATTCAATGTTGTAAAAAAAAACAACAACAACATAAGATCATTCAGTGTAATGCAGTATGTAATAACTTATTATTTCATTATATTGTACGAGGTTAAAAGGTTGTAAAAGGTGTAAAAGGTTGTCATTGGCACACCTAACACAAAATTCATTGCAGTTTTTTCCTTCTTATGAATATTTTCTCTACTAACTTTTACAGCGAGGAAAATGAGTTCCTGTGTCAAAAGAGTGGTGGCTAAAGATATTATTACCAATTCTATAGAATGATTAGCGATGAATATATTATATTAAGTACTGATAGTAAAGATGATCAGTTATCTGTTTGTGAAAATGTCATATTGATACAAACTCAGACAAAGGTGAAGCTGATAATGAAAATTATGATAATACCTAAAAGAACATCAAAATTTATTTATAAAACGATAAAGAAACAAAGTGGTTTAGAATACCAAGATTGTAGAGAACTGGGTGAAGATTATCCGTTTGCATAAAATATTAGGTTTAACTAGATACGAAAGAAGAAATATCGCCACAATAATATCTGTATTCTATCTGTTCATGAAGAACAACATAGTGGAAGAAATGAACGAAAAGGAAGGAGAAGTTGTATTAATAAAAAAAACTAAAGTATATGGCTTCTAACGAACAATATTTGTCTGTGTTTTTCGGGGGAGTATTCTAGCTGGTGTTTATATATATATACAAGACAAAACAGTTGAACAACTTTGTTATCGGGACTGCGGCAGATTAATTTTTCCACAAGAACTAACACAAGATTTCATCAACTTGTGAGATGCCTTCGATTTAATAATGGTGAAGAATGTTAAAATGGCAAACAAAAGAAAGTTTTATCCATTACGAATATTCAAAGAAGAGGTACAGACTCTTCAGCTACTATCAGAAAATGTAACCTTTGAGTAACAGTTGGTCCCATTTTTTGGCGGATGCCACTTCATACAATATGCAAACAAAGGTGGAAAATATGGTATAAGATTTGGGCTTATTATAATGACACATCGTATACAAGTGTATACAGGAAGAAAAGATGGACAGCTAATAGAACAAAACCAAGGAAAGAGTGATGTACTGGACACGGTCCAGTGGTTAGAAAACATTGAACGCAGTACAATTTGTGATAATTTCTTTACCAATGTAAATGTAGCCGACAATATTTGGTACAATTAGAAAAAAAAAG